CTAATTCTCTGCAAATATAATAAAAAAAATACTCTTATTCTATTGAAAAAGTGTTGTATTAAAAGTAAAATATATTTTCTTTGCAAAATACTTGACTAATCATTGGTAAAGGGGAAGGTCTATGCAAATGGCTTCTTCCCCAGAACTGTTATATCTCAATGGCAAATGTGCAAACAAGCTGCATTCTTTAGTCCTACTAATTCAAATCTTCGCAGCTAGGACTCACCATGTCATATATACAGAATTGACCGATCCTTGTTGCCTTCATATTCCCTTGCTATGCAAATGACTTCTTCCCCAGAACTGTTACTTTCTGGAACAGCCTCTTGAGAAGATGCTTCCTTAATCACCAAAATCTTAACCTCTTCAAGTCTAGGGTCAAACATAATCTACCTTACATATCCCAATAATATGCACTTTTTACTTCCTCCCACTATACATTAACAACAATCTTGTTCAGTAACACTCTACTTTGAGCGGCTCTTAGGTCTTGTATTGAAGGAACAATAGTATAAAAAAACTCATGGTTCTGACAACAATGACATTTGACTTGTTCTGTATTTCAAAGACTAAATATATTTGTCTTTCTGTCTTTATTTACTATACAGAATCTATTTTTATTCCCCTCAATGGAGTCAGCCTTCATTAACAACATATACATCTCTTTCAGGCAGTGTCTGCATAAAACAAACTTATTCCTATTATTTATTATTATTGAAATGTCTTCTTCCTTCTGAAAGAAGATATTTTCTTCCTTCTATTTAGTCTACAAGCAGTTTTAGAAAAATTCAGTGTGTTTGTAAACTTTTTGTGAGATATCTGATAGATGATATATGCATAGAAGAGAACTAATATACCTGGTTTCTTGTATTGAATATGCTAATTCAATGCTCCAATTACATACTGTGAATGCCCATCATGAGTAAATCAAAATGTTGAATATAAATAAAGATTATTTACATTATTCGGACTATTGTCCTCATCTTTGTCACCATATTTATTACAACGTTTTGGCCTTCTTCAGGTAGTTGGAATGTCAAACTGAACCCTTTATTTCACTCACTGGGGTAGACTGTCCTCAAGGACACATGGCACAGTGTATAACGATGTTAGTTAGATCCAGTGACGAAAGAGTGTGAATTCAATACCCGGTTAAGGCAGTGGAGAACTTTCAGAGGGAAATTAACTGATAACTGACATCCATTAAACATGGCACGTGGAACTAGAACAGTCTACCCCAGTGAGCGAAATAAAGGTTTAAGTTAAACATTCCAATCACCTGAAGAAGGCAGGAGTGTACAATGGCCAAAACGTTATAATAAATATGACGACAAAGATGAGGACAATAGTCCGAATAATGTAAATAATGTACGTAATACCTCATCTCAGAAATATTGACAGATAATAAATAAAGATATCTGATTTTTTTCTTTCATTTAAATAATTTTTGATTATTATTTGTGATTATTTTTTTGCAGTTCATTTCATAAACTTTTCTGCTCATATCATTTCCCTGCTTTTATGAAATTAATTAAGAATCAGTACTTTCTGAAATGGACTCTAATATTTTTTTATGTAACGCATTCTTCAATTGTTCCTGAATTATTGCTCATGAGTTATCTACTCTGTATTCAGTTATTTTGCTTATCTACACCCACACATGTCTATATTTCTGAGATGATGTATTGTAATTATTTACATTGTTCAGACTGAATATGACAATAAAGATGAGGACAACAGTTTGAACTTGTAAATAATATAAATACACATACACGTGCACACACATATATTTTAACAAATATAAATGTTATCCCTCACCAATAACATGACTCAGAGTTTCATGTACAATGCAATCTTCAGCACCCGAAGCTAGCATTGTGCATGAAACTCTGTCGTGCTACTGGTGAGGAATAATATGTATGTTTATTAATATATATTTAATAGCTCTGTTACATTACATCGAGTACTATTTTATTAACACCCGCACTCAATGTGCAATATCTTATATTTATAATTATATGATGGTGGCTTCTGAGGTTTCAAATATAGTCATCGCTTGAAGCAATTCAGAATCAGTTTCATCAGTGAGCAGCATGGATGAAATTTTTACTGGCAAGGGACCTTCACTCTTTTGCTCAGATGTTGTGCACATGATAGCCTCCAGCAAGGGACCTTCACTCTTTGGCAAAGATGTTGTGTATATGTTAGCCTCCAGTTATCCAGATCTGTTTGTTGGTCACCATGTATTATCCTGAGTTGTTTCAGACCTCTTTTCTGTCGCATTCATGCCATGCTCTTTTTCTGTATTTGGTGTGACTCAAATCAGCTCTCTGTACATGACTTCTTTTGTGACTTTTCAACTCCACTCTGCTGAAACAGACTCTCTTACATTGATCACACATTATCTCTCTCCAGCTATCTACATTTCCTGGCAGTATCACAACCACAGACTTTCTTGCATACACACACACACACACACACACACACACATATATATATGAAAATGTGTATATATATATATATATATATATATATATATATATATATATATATATATATATATATATATATATATATATATATATTATTATTTATGCGTGGTACTTATTAGAAAGCAGACAGACAATGAATATCTATTATGAGCCATTCTAATGTTTGTTTTAATTTCTGGTAAAAAATAGACAAAAAATCCCACCAAAGCTGGCATTTTGTTATTTTGACATAGAAAATTGCTGTGCCATATTAACGGTCACAGAATAGCAGACGCAGATCGTTAGTTCAAGGTGCTGTTCTATGGCGTCATACCACATGATAGACCGAAGTATTACAACAGAACCAATGTTTAGATGCAATGTAATGTGTTGTGACTAGTTTGAAATGTAATTTTGTTGAGTGTGGGTTGCTTCGTTTTAATGTAGATAGCTTCCAATATCTGAAGGTTCTTTTTACTGTGTGTATGTGTGGGTATTAGTGTTATCTGCATCTGCTATTCCGAGACCATTAACATTGCAAAGCAATCTTCTATGTCAAAATAACAAAATATCACCTTTGACAGTGGATATCTTTCTTTCATGTCTGTATAACCAGTCTGAGGATGGCTCATGTGAACCGAAAGCTTAGGACCAACTTAATAAAAAAATATCCAAATGTTGGACAATTTTTGTCTTTATTTTCACCAGAAATTAAAGCAAATATTCGAACATTAAAATGGCTCATGATCAGACATAATAGACATTCATTGTCTGTTATATTTAATAATATTTGTTTAAATAATGATCTGCTGCCTCAACACACACACATATATAATACAAAAGAGATGCTGACAGGTGAGTATCCTGTGTCCCTGATGCATAAAAATCTTAAAGGACACAATAACTTTCCCATCTGTGCATTCCATAGACACAGTTAAAGTTTCCCATGAAAACATATTTTTTCAGATGCTTTTTACTAGTTCTTCCTTTCTTTCACTTACTCTTTCCTTTTTGCCTTGGGCGGTAAGATGTGGGTGGAGGCATGAAACAGACATCAATCTTGCCTTACCAGAAACTTTCTTGGTTCACTTTATTTGATGCACTTGAACTTATTAAAGTTTGCTGAACATTGCTTTAAAGACTTTTTGTTTTAAGTTTATTGATTCAATGGAAGAAAAAAACAAAATAAACAAAAACTTTTGTTCTGTTAATTTAAAAACTTTGTTTTGTCATAATTCTAAAAAAGAAAAAAATAGTTTCTTAATTGAACTATGATCAAGTGTAAATACTGTTTTTGTCTTGAATTTATTTATTTAATTAAAAAAAAATGTCTGAGTCAATTTAAGTGATTTGGTGAAAATTGTTTTTTGGGACAATGGTAAAAAGTCTATAGACCTGCTTTTTAACATAAAAAATTATTAAGAAACTTTAATTGGGACCCATTGAATTTCTCGGAGATGATGCACACAAACCACTATAGGGACTCACTACATTAAAAACCTATCAGCATCACTGTGTGTGTGTATATATATATATATATATATATATATATATATATATATATATATATATATATATGTATGATTCATTTGGATTTGCTCTGCTTATCATTATGAATTATTTTTATTTTATTCTTTTTAAACTGAAATTTTTCATTGTGTTCTATACATTTTGGAAAATATCTGAACAAAATTTATAAATTTTCAAATTTTTTATGTTTTAAGTTTCTCAACTATTATGAAATTTTTTCATTTTAATTATTTAACTGCCACTGAAATTTTATTCCATGTCCCACAGTCATTTCTATTTATTTTTTTATTGATCTTTCCTTTATGTAGGTCTACCATATATGTGTGCATTTTTCTTTAAGTGTCATGTTCTTTCAAGATGTAAATAATGATAGTTTTCTACAGCTTTCTTTTCTCTGATCATTTTAAACTATGCATTGCCATGACTATTCTTGGAAAAGATAGTGGAATGTTTCCATTGTCTATTCCAGATTTGAATTATTCTTTTTTCAGACTGGTTTCTAACCCCAGTTTACCTGCTATTTAACCTATAGATAGGAGAGCATTTTTACCTTTACCATGAATGACAATCTTTCATGAAAGACTTTTGAAAACAGTATGAATGAATTGGGCTTTAGATTTCTGGTCCCTTGTCTCCTTTACTACCTCTTCTTCATAATTGTTGTTATACTTAATGTATGAAATATAAATGAAAAATATATATTTCATATATAATATATATCTATTATGGAACGGAAATATTTTTATTTACCAGTTTCCTATTGTTTTATTTATACAGAAATGTTTGGATAATTGTTATTTCTGTATTTTCCGATTTTTATTTTTTTATTTATTAACTTTAAATTTTATTTCATATTTTTAATTAAACAATGACAGCCTGAAGTAAAATTAAGAAAGATGAAAATTATATGCTGTTTACCAAATTGCATTCCCCTTAAAAAAAAAAAAAAAAAAATGTAAAGTAACCCTTTCTAGGTTCTAATACTGTCTCTTTTGTTAGATCACTTGTGGCCCAACCTGTCCACCCATGACAGTCCCAACCGAAACTACAAAGAAATACATTCTGGTAAGAATCTGTAGAAATTTCTGTAGTGATCCTATTACCATCTTCCAAGCCAGTGTCCCTTTGTCTGTAGACATATCTTTTGTGTAGAGATGAATCGTTCTTCATCTTATTCCAATGATTTATTCTTTCCAATCTAACTGTTAACACTTTTCCTTCCTATTATTAGTTTAACTCACTCATTGTATTTAATATAACAAAAAAAATAGAACATTTTGTTTTGTTTACTCATAAACATATGTAACAAATTCATTCATCATTTTAAAATTTGTTATACTAAACTAATAATCAAAGTGCTGTTGATGTGCATTCTATGTGTTTTACTGTTGACAAACTTTATTTGCATTTCAAGGTGTGACAATTTAATTCCTGGAATGACACTGTGGAAGCAAAGTCTACTTACCTCATCACTATTGGCTGCTGTTGCCTTTTAAAGTACTTCCCTTTTGAAACTGTTGTCATTGCTGGAAATATTCTTGTAACTCATTTTCCAGAGTTCAATTTAGTAATATAGTGACATGTAATTGGATGTCAATGATGTCAGCAAATCTTTGTCTTGTCATGACATTTTTAACCAAAAATCACAGGGGATTAAATCTGGTAACTGGTGGATGGAACATTTTTGTAATGTATTTCTTAGCCAAGAACTTGTGAACTTTTAATACATCATGTTAGGATCTGTTGCACTGTTTCCCTAATCATGTTCTGCTATCAGTCCCACTTCAATCTGAGAGCAACAAGGATTTCACTCTTGCACACATTTGCAATAGTTATTTGTGTTTTTGGCTGCCCACTTTTTGTGTCATCATGAACATTTTTTCACTTCTTTGAACTCTTTGTGCCACTCAAAAACACTAGAATTTTTCATAGCATGTTCACCATAAGCTATTTTTAATAAGATCAATGTTTCACTATCATTTTTACTAACTTTTACACAAACTTGATGTTAATATGCCGTTCCTGAATCCTTTCACTCAATTCTGCCAACAGTATGATATGAACAGGTACAACTTCCTCTACTGCTCAGCAGAAAATGTTTCATATGGTCTGCATTTCAAAAAGGCAGAATTTAGAACATGTCTAGATATGTTTAGGTACAGATGCTGCAGTCATTCTGAGAAGTAGATTGTCACACTTTATATGCATATTGTTTTACCAGTTTTATTGTGCATATTTATCAAGACAAAAGATATTTTAAAGATTTAGATTAAAAAAAATAATTTACAATGTTGCTTTCAAAATCTGTTAACTCCCAAATCAATTTTTCTGTTCCATATAAACCAGACCCTAACATATCAAATAAGTAATGCATATAGTTGCTTAATGATGTTACAATTTCTATTTTCTAGCTTTATACTCTTTTGATAATTGGTCCAGTTATATCCAGTGGTTTTCAAATTTTTCTTTACCTGTAATCCAAATATATAAAATGTAATATATATATATATATATATATATATATATATATATATATATATATATATATATATATATGGTCAGAGTTGAATCAGACCAGGGAACAGTAGTATTAAAAAGTGCTCAATACTTGTGAGAAAAAATAAGTAAAAAAAATAATAATAACATGTAGAGCTTTTTAAGTTTAAAATTCAGGAGGTCAATTAAAATACGCGATATATATAAAATGTTATATATACACAAACACCCACAACACCCAGGTAAGATGAGATCACCTGGTGAGCTGCATTGGAACACGACCGTAATTGCAATTGTGTAGTGATTTTGCCATGTTTTCAATGTAATATCCTAATATACATATATACACACATATATATATATATATATATATATATATATATATATATAAACATGCTTTGTTGCCTTGGCCATAAATAGCAGTCGGTCAGGCAAGGCCAAATTTTGTGCTTTCAAGCAAAACTTCTCTTCATAGTTCTCTCAAAGTTTTACATGAGAATCTATCAGATTAATAAAAATTCCTTTCTAAATAATTTTCTTTGCCCCAATTATGTGAATTTAAGTGTGCTACTAGATTGGCTCTAGGTCCCACTTTTTTGCTGTTGAAATAGTTAAAAGTAACTGCCACTTCTACTCCAACAATTTCTTTTCTCACACTTCCCACCTGTGGAACTCTGATCTGTTGCTTCCCTAACAACTACAGTCTTCAAAGATTTAAATGTAATGTCAATCACTATCTCCTATTTTCTTGAATCCTGTTCATTTTTTTATACCTAGTCTTTATTCTCATTTTCACTCTCTGCAACCCCCTACATACTTGTGTCAACCCTGCCTTGCTTAGGGTGAAATCATATATATATATATATATATATATATATATATATATATATATATATATATATATATATATGGAAGTGATATAATAAAAAATTTATAAATCAAGAACAATTTTAGGGAAAAACTATGACAGAGTGGGAAAAATTTTGTGTAAACTTTTTTATTTTTTAATAGTTTTCCTAATATATATATATACACTGTATATGTGTGAAGATTGAAGTCAACTCCCAGAGGCGACAACAGTCTTTTTCATGCAAAATGCAATTGCCATACATATATATATATATATATATATATATATATATATATATACACACATACACATACACACACACACTTTTTCTCTGTTGTCAGGCATGTTCTCTACATAGACATCTGAATTGTTTATCGCTATAATTCTGGGGAAGTGTTGTAGAAATGGATGTTAACATTATGCTAAACTTGATTAATAAAACCCTGTAATTATTATTCACTTTGTAGAATTTTATTTGTTTAGTTCAGGAAATGATCAAGAAACTGCTGGGCGACAAAGCTTTTGATATTGTATAAAGACAATGCAATTGGAAAATTCTTTAAGAATTTCTCTTTTTTTTTTTTTTTTTTTTTGATAGTCTGAGTAAACTAGTTTTATATATTGTTTTACATTTTTCAAATACCATTCTTAATAAAATGAAGTGCTAGAAAAAATTACAGATAATTACCTAATAACATGTTGCTCTTCCTTTTACCTGAATAACAGCAGCTATTTGATACACCATGGTATTTATGAGGTGCTGAAATCATTTCATTAGTATATTGATCCAAGCACACCCCAGGGTTTCTCATAACTGAAGTGTGGATACAAAGGAATTATTCAGTTCTCCAGCATATCCAATACATGCCCAATGGGGTTTAAATCTGGTGAGCACAGAAGCCAATAAAATACCTGGAAATCAACCAAGTGTTCTTAGAACCAGTTTCACGTTCTTGATATTATGCATAAATTATTTTTATTCTATTCCTATGATTATTTTCACTCTGGCAGTTGTTTGGTATGTTCATACATTTAATGCTCTAAATGTTCTTTGAATGCAAATAGTTTTTTTTTAGACTAATTGGCCTTGTTATATTCAGCTACACATATAACTAAACCATTTTTGTAACTGTGCCAGTGTGATTAGTATTAAAATCATTTTCATCATCTTTATAGTTTTCTTCAGATTTTTAAGAGTCAACAACTGGACAGTCTTGTTTGCTCTTTACATGTAAAAATAAATAATGTTTTGCACAATGGTAGCCCAATAGGATGTAATTATTTCATGTGTAGTGTTTTTTCTTATGGAAAAGATTATTATCTGTCTATACACATTTTTAAGCAATGAATTATCTTTAAGATTTGCTGGAGATCTGTAAGTTAAGTCTGTTAGTATCTTTGTTTTTAAGGTACTAATTTGGGAATCTAATGATTTTGGAGCAGAATAATTTTAAGCTGAATAATTAATTCATATCATTCTGTATAACATATTTCTTATGTTCAGATTATCTCCTTGTCTTTGTAAGGGTTCAGTTTGAAATTTCCTGAAGGTTACCTGGATTAACAAGTGCCTGGTGAGGGCACAGTGGGTGAAATGTTGTGATAACAACAACAAAGATGGCGACAATAATCCAGATGTAAATAATGATCTTATGCAATTCTGATCCCAGAAATTCAGACAGAAGTTGCTTGACTGAAATTGTGTGTGTGTAGGGTGCGATGGGTAAATTTTATATTTTAATTTTGATAATGCATGTTATTTTTTATTTTGTCAATTGCACAGTATAGTAGAGTCAGTTGGGCACCGTCTGTGAGAAAAAGAGCACCATGAAGCAATTCACTTCGACAGAAATTTGAAAATGGCATGCTGTGCCAGAAACTCCAATACAGACATTTCAGAGTGTTTGGGTGTTAATCTGAAGACAGTGCAGTAGATTTAGAAAAAGTTGAATGAGTCTAATAGTTATTACAAAGGTACGGCAACTCAGAAAACTCACTCTGATTGTTTTGATAAGAAAAGAACTCTCAAATTTGTTGGTGTGAGCCTCAAACTCAACACAGAGGCCTACATAAGTACCTTGAGGAGGTAGTACTGTCCTGGGTCAAGAGGGTGGCTGCTGGAAAACACTATGTCTGGCAACAGGATTCTGCACCATGCTACAGAAGCAGGAAAACTCAGTCATGGCGGTTAAACAATTTCTGCGACCACATCACCCCTTAAATCTGACCACCTAACTCCCCAGACTGCAAACCCCTTGATTATTATGTGTGGATTGCATTTGAGTGAGAAACCAACAAAACTCTTTGTAATACCAAGGATGAACTGAAGGCAAGGATTATGGCAGCATTCACTAACTTAAACACGGAAACCATCCAGAAAAGTTGCAGGAGATTTCAAAGTTGTCGAGGGACCATGTTTGAAACCATTGGCGATTTTATTGAATAAATTTACTCTTTAGTATTTAGAGATATTTTTGTGTAATTTTGGTAAATATATCTGTTAACGTGAGATGTCTGTGTTATTTGCGTAATTTAGATGACAATTTATCCATCGCACCCTCTCCCTCTCTCTCTCCCTCCCTCCCTCTCTCTCTCTATATATATATATATGTTTATATTGTACATATATATCTACATAAATGCATAAGTGATTAGAAGTATATAAATGTATTTATATAAATCATGTTTGAGAAATAGTTTATATATGCTTGTTTATGAG